AAATTCACTACAGAAGGTTCAGGACACAGTCTCCTCTCAGTTTTTTTTTTCCACATCTTTTCATTCACGGCTCTGCTGCAGCCACCATTGGTTCAGTTCTTGTCCGGCGTCACTCCGGTAGTTGGATGAACTGGACGTATCCCACGTGTGTTGTGATGAATGGACGAGGACTGCTGCTGGTTAGTGTGTGTTTGATGTCTTTGCTCTGGCACGTTTTTTTTCTCTGTTCAGACTTTTCCAAGATTTTGAAAACAGAACATTGTTTTCAGATCCTAATAATATTCAGTGAGTGACATTTTATTACTGGTTGAGATGTGTGCAGAAAAACATTGCTATAAAATCCCATTTTAGTAGGTCTGTATTTTTGTTGTATTTGATAATTGGATGGCTCATTTAGTGTGTTTATTAGAAAATTACTAAAGTTTTTTTTGGTTGATGGTGAAGTTATTATTTGTTTTATTAAATCCATGTGTTTAATGTTTCTTTTGAAAATTACTTCAACAATGAAACATCTGAAATCTAAAAGTTTTTTTTTTATGGATTTGTTTTTGTTAGAGGATGACAGCTTAGGTGTGAACAGCTTTAGGACTGACAGTCCACTTCTCTCACATCTTGACCTGAGGCTTGAGGTCAAAGGTGACAGAATCCATCTCACTTGGTGTCTGGCCTTCACACAATCCTCAGGATGTCATGCTGTTGTTGTTGTTCCTTTGAGATACAGCTCGGGGCTGAAACCTTTATTTTTGAGAAAAAAATGTTTTGTAAATCCTGGGAATCCCTGGTCTTCACTTCACTCTCTGCCCCTGTCCTGACATTTGCACTGAGGTAACCAGGCTCTTACACAACCCTGCACTCTGTCACATCGCTGTAGCCTGTGGCCCACTGCCCCCCCGGGGAGAATGGCATCTTCATCAAAGTGAAACTCACTAATCCAGGTCTGAGTTTAGCTTTCACTGAGTACAGTCCACCCACCCTGCAACAGCTCTGGGATGAGTCCTAATCTCCTTTTCTTCCTGTCCCGGCAGATATTCCCCCCCAGACCCCCTCCCTCCTAACAATCTTGTTGACAGGTAGCCTTTTTCTCTCACCAGCTCCTCAATTTAACAAGAGTTACGAACAGCACTTTACTACAAACTATCACTGACCTTTTAACCCCAGTGTTATGGTTAAATCACAGGTGGCCTGTCGGGGGCGTGGTCATACTCATAAGTCATTTTACCTCATCCCTTTTAAAATTCCAGGTGCGGCAGTCGGTCCGAGGAATGTTCAAAATGTGGAGAAAGAGAGAGAAACGTTATAGGAGACCTGAGTAAAACTTGGTCAATGTCAGTTAAATGTATCTATCAGAGGTCGTGACCTAAACCCACTACCATTTAATTACCTAATCATTATGATCTATTTAGACATGTGGAAATAGTCAAACGTCAAAAGTCAAACCTTTTGGCTCTGCATCTTTACCAGAGTGTGACAGTTTAAATTCTAATAGAATAGTGATATGTTTTTGAATGATCTCTAAAGCTCTGCTCTACATGTTTATTGCACGGGCACATTTATTATTATTAATTTATTTTTCTTCAAGATAATTATTCCACTAAATATAAAAAGTACACTTTGAGGCAGACAGGTCTGAGCTAGAGGTCCATCAAACCAGAGACAGAGATTATTCATAGTATTTTGGCTGAGATGATCTGAAAAGCAGTAAACTTCTAACTAAATCTTGACTTTACTTGACAACTAATCCAACACAGAAGCCTATATCTACAAATTATTTTATATATATATGTATATACATATATATGTAACTTAGTAACTATGTAACTAAGCATAGTCAGCCTCTGCAATCTCAACTTTTGAAATCCGTGCTCGTGTGGTTACTTGTGTAATTTCAGTTATGTGGCAGCGTGACGTATCAGCTCCCCAATTACAAAATCACTTCCTTCTGCCAAATAATATGTGTTACTCATACTTATGGTAATCTCATTAAATGAAAAGATGCAATTGCAATTTTGCAATATTTATGGTCCTCAGCGACAGTGAAATGAATCAGTTTTGTCGGTTGACGAGAACAAAATGTTTGACATTTGGGATGTTAGAGAAAAGACAGCTGACATTTATAACAACTGAACAATTCCACGCTCTAATCCTTTGATCAATGGGCTGGTAAAATAATCATTAGTTACATGCTGTTCAGTTTTTGTACCAAATCGTTGGTGTCAGCTGGCTTTAACATGCACTGGCTCTGATAAAGTCCGTCTAGTTTGGGTCAGCTGTTGGACACCAAGCCAAGTGATGAAAAAGACTAAATTCCAGATGATGTTTATTTTATTCCTCCTTTTTTTCCAGACAGACTCTTGTCTGCTGCCGTCCTGCTGCTCTCGCTTAAAAACTCTTTTCATCCCTAAGGGTTTTTAGATGGTTTTGTCCTGACATTGTTTACCACTGTAGAGCAGAGCGGTGGCCATGGTCTGCATCCTTCATGTCTTAGAGTTTTTCAGTAATTGCTGTGCTTTATTTTCTACTACTCTTATAAGGGAAATGGTCCGAGTTGAAAGAGTAACTGTTTCTTAACTGATTTATGGCTTTCCAGTGATAGTGCACAAGGTTCTGGCCTCTGCATTCCAGACCTGAAAATGGACATAAAGAGAAGAAATGTCCAAAATGTATGAGTGGGAGTTGATTACTGTTTTTGGAGGGCGAGGAGATCAAACTGTTCGTCCTCCTCTGAAAACAAATAGGCGGCCTATCTGCTTACAGCTCTAATGAGGGCAACAGCGACACAGGCTAACAGTTTGCATGTGCAGCCACTTTGATGGTTCTGATATGTAGTTTTGTTTGGTCTTTTTTGGAAATCTGTGCCTCTTTAAAAGTCTTACTGCGGTGAACCACAATATATGTACGTAAACACGGGTATTGCCTTTGAACGCTTTGATCATTGTGTTTAACAGTGAACTGAAACCATTATAGAGCAAATACTTTAATAAACTTATAATAAAGTTTTATCTTCAAACCGATGGAGGTTGAGAAGCAGAATAACCTCTCATGTGTAACTGTAACAGGTGATGGATGATAACTGCATCTGCCCCAAACGTCAGATTCAATGCATGTTAGTGCCTGCACGGGCGGCAGTGAAACTCCCATCATATGGTTCATATTATATGAAGTTTGAAGTTTGCAGCGTTGTGTATTCTAAGTTTCTACATGAACGTAGAGTCGTGGGATCAAAGTGACTTTTTTTTTTAAACTTGTCATTCTCGTTCTCATGTTCCTGCATTCAGCCCAGATAATTGTTTTTCAGAATCCAGTGACATGAAAAATCATTGATTGAATTAATTGTAATTAATACTTTGTCGTGCAATTTCACATCACTTTAATCACAACTGAACTCTGAAGTATGATTGCAACCCAAAAAGGCTAATAATGGATAATTTAGTAGTTTCTAGAATGGCATAATATGTTGGTATAAGTTTGCCCATTTTTACAGTAAAACAGTATCTGCTGAACTTGATGTTGTTATAATGATTATAATTTTTGGTATTTATGGCCTCATTTTGGACTCCAGAAATTGAATGCAATAATTGAAACCATTTCTTATATGATATTACTGTGCAAAGTTAACTCAGACACGAATATAAATGTAGTATTTTTACAGTTCCCATAAACCGTACCTCAAAGTGACTTTTACTCAAAGTTCACTGAGTTTAACGTCACTATTTTCTTCCATTTGGTTGAATGCATTTTGACACTTTTTGTCTTTGTTTTCCTTTAACAGTGATGATCTACAAAGATGTGGTAGTTTTTCCATTTAATCGGTGGTTGTTTTGGTCACATGATTCTGTTGTAGGCTGATTTATGTATTATATACATAGCCTAATATTAGTCAGTGTTCTTTTTTAAATGGTCAAATAAATTTGCCAAAATGTTGAAATAATTCATATGTTAAAAATAATACTTTTTTGCTATTCACTTTTAAGTAACTTGTGTTGGAAAGATGCTCGACCAAAAAAAAAAACAACAAAAACACTTATCGAACAGATGAAGTGAATTATTCAAATGAACAGTCTGTTTTATGTCTGTAGGGGGTTTTTTTTAGCTTTTTTTTTTTTAAGTTGCTTGAGCCTAAAATTGAACTGAGAGGTTAAGCTGTGGCTCCACCGGGCGGACAGGATGTCAGACATGCAAGATGGGTCAGAACAGGTACAGACAGGAACAATGGCTAGAATTTACAGACATCACAGACAAATAACAGGGCTGATCCGTCCTGAGCATTTACCACAGAACAAATGACTAATGGGATGCAGCTGAAGAGGAAAGTGACTACAGATCAGGTAAGTTATCAGCAGAAGCAGTAAATTGTTTGAAGATTATCAGCGAATAGCTGACTGAGATATGAAGACTCATAAATCTGGAGATGAGAAGAGTCAGGAGTGGAAGTCATAACGTCAACACTGATGGGTTTAAAAAATAATTGTTATTAAAAAAAGCTGAATTTATTTGATTGATTAACTCTTTTTTTTTTTTCTTCTTTGTCCTTTTGGTTTCCAGGTTGTGAAAATGTGGAGCTGGTATTTCACTCTCGCTCTACTGCTGTCGTCTTTTGTGAGACCTGCTGAAGCGTCACTCTCACTCTGCTGCTGTCGTCTTTTGTGAGACCTACTGCAGCACAAGGTAAAAAAAAAAACACCTTCAAACCATTTTTTTCTCCAAAAACACCAGGATTGTTTTCAAACCATTTTTTTTCTTAAACTCGTTTCATTTAGTTCTATAGACGGCACAGCCTTATAGGTAATAAGGTGACGTGCAGTGTGTAATTTATTTATTTTTTTATCGTCTATTGGCTATGTCTGTACCAAAGGAAACAAATCTTTCTTTATTAAAAAAAGTTCAGTGGTGAGGATAGAATAAATAAAAATGGCAAGAAAAAATAAAATCTCCTGTTTTCCTCTTTAGCACTATTTCCACGTCGCTGTAAACAAATGAACACACATAGCAGAACTTAAAAAATGTCAGAAAAACTAATGGAGTTCAAGGAGCAAAACAGTCCTTTTTTTTATTCATATTCACAACATATCAAGATATTAAGTCCATCCTTAGAGGTTTTCATGTTCACTCTCCATGACTTCAACACCCAGGCAGGTGCAACAATGTGCAAGCGGCCGATATCGTGTTCCTGGTTGACGGCTCCTCCAGCATCGGCCGCGCAAACTTCGTGCAGGTGAAGGGCTTCATGGCAGGAATCGTCAAACCATTCGCCAGCTCTGTCAGCGAGTCGGGGATTAGGTTCGGGGCCGTGCAGTACAGTGAAACGTCAAGGTAATGAGAATATTAACATACATATTGGATCACGCTGCCCAT